GCCACCAGGAGGCGTGGCTTGGGATTCCCTTGGAACATCAAGGGTGCACTCTTCTCCCCACAGGCAAATTGTCTTCAGTCCACAGGAATTCACTCACCTTGGGAGGGGCAGTCCCTCCCTGGGTGCACGGGCAGGATTGAACATGTCAAGGTGTCATAAAATACAGAATATAGGGCCCGCCCTGGTGGTGCAACAGGTTAAAGCACAGCACTGTGAAGCAATCAACAGCCACTGCAGCCTGAGTTTGATCCCCTGTCAGGGAGGTGACACCCACATGGCGTGGCAGACCTCTCCTGTCTCTCCTGCTGCTCCCCTCAGCAGTGTACTTCGTCCATCTGCCTATTCTGCTCCCCGCTCTGTGTCTGGTGAATCCTCTCACCCCCCACCCCGTGCTTCCAGCCTGTGCCTCCTCCACATGGTATCCACAGAATAGCTCAAGGCTCCCACAGAATAGTGAGTTATTAACTTGTGAGGCCGTTTGCTCACCCCAAGACTCACCCATTAGCAGATTCCTTGCCAGCCTCACAAGGAGCCTAGAAGAGATAACTGGGTGACTGAATGAAGACATGGCTTCCATCACCACTGAGTGTGCTTGTCACTCCCAGTATGGAGATGCAGAAGCTGAGGTTCCGGGAGGGAAAGTCACACACTCAAGGTCACACAGCTTAAATACATTCTGCTGGGCTCCAGTCCTGACCCCTTGATCAGAGCCCAGGATGGAGCTAGGAGAGCCTTAGCAGTGATCTCCAAGCCAGACCCCTTCTGAAGCTTGGGGGAATCCCGTTCACACCCCTGAAATGGGGAGCCCCTGGCCCCCTCTACTGGTGCTGCTTCTGTTCCCCCTGGAGAGATTTCACATTGCTGATCACTGGGAACAGGACTGGAAGTGCTGGTTCCAGATCTCAGGACCCTTCTAGTGCATTCTCTCCAGCACCTGCTTCCCCACTGCCATCCCTTCATCCCAGAGCCCTGGCTTCAGGTGTATCAAAGCCCCAGCTCTGCGTGAGGTTCCAACACATCTCAGCAGGCTTGGTGAATACATTAGTTTTATTTTCCTCTAACGTGCCACAGGGGAGGAGGGTGGGTGGGGGGAGCTGGAACTCAATATGCAAATGTATGCAGATCGCATCCAAATGAGGGTGTCCCAGGATTAAAGGGAAGAAAGGCCATCAGAGCAGGCCTGGGGCTCGGCAGAGCGCAGCCAGAAAACGGCCCTCCTGGGAGGGCGTCTTGAGCTCTGTTTCAGGGCTTGTTCTTTGAAGCAATGTCTCTGCAGCACAAGGGAAGGAAGGACTGCAGAAATTGGTTCTGGATACTTCCGGGCAAAATGTTCTCAATTGCTTCAACTCTGTTGCCGGTGCATTGGGGAAGAGGGGTAGAATCTCTGAGCCTCTCTCTCAGTCACTGCAGACCTTGGGGTGTTGTCTCTGTCACTGATTTCTAAACTGTGGGAGCAGCCAGTTCCGGGCCTCTGTGATTGCTGAATCAGAACCTCTTGAGAATGTGCGTTTTTATAAGTCCCCAGCCTTAGGGGTTTATGCAAACCAAGAGTTCTTAATCTGGCATCCCTTATGGGATTCAGGGGCCCTGGGATCACTGCTGTTCTCAGTCTTGGATGTTTATGAGGATCATGGGGCTTTAAAGACAGCCCCCAATGCCCAGGCTGCACCCCAGAGCAATTAAGTCGGATGTCTCGGGAGAGAAAGAGGGAGGTAAAATCCAGGCGTCACTCTTCAAAAGATGTGCAGCCACAGTTGTAGGGCTGTATTCAGTGCCAGACCCTCTGGCTGGTTCTAGGAGTGCTTTTTTTTTAGGAAGGGGGCTGGAGCTGGGGCTGATGGCTGGTGCGTCCTGGGTACACAAGACCCAGATGTTGAAGCATTGACCTATTCCCACTACCCTTTCGAGCAGATACTGCTTTGAACATTCTGGGCGCCCCTGCCCCAGATCCCAGATCCCTAGGTCCAGAAATGACAGGGTTAATAATAACTGACCCCCCCTCCCCACCATGTCCCCCAAACCTCTCTTCCCCTTCCTGAGGCTTGCTCCAGTTGCTGGAGCAACTTAGACCCAGCTCGATTTGATTGGTCAGAGTTCTGAAGACCTGGTGGTTAACTGTTTGCATGCCAGCTTTGCTGTGACATTGTGGGGAGGAGCATCCATTTTCCAGTCCGAAAGGCCTAGAGTCCCTTCTGATTGGGGTAGTAGCTGTATGACCTTGGGCAAGTGGCTTCATCTCCTGAGCTTGGTTTCTTCATCTGGAAATGGAGTGACAGCCCTCCCTCTCGGTGCTGGCGTGAAGCTTCACCAGCACAGAGGTCTCAAGCTTGAGTGGGCTGACTCCATCACCCCATAGGCTTATTAAAAGAAAGATTGCAGGATCCCATTCCTAGGTATCTACCCAAAAGACAAGAAAACACTGATTCAAAAAGACACCTGTACCCCCATGTTTATTGCTGCTTTATTTACTTATTTTTTTAAAAAAGTTTATTTTTACATCATTTTGTGCATTTTTCCATCTCAGTTGCAATCCCCTTGGCCTTCCCATCACCAAATCACCCATGTGCCATCACCAAAGCCCAGTGCTCTCTCCCCCCACTGTTTTTGATCCCATTCCCCACTCCACCCTCATAAATTGTCTCTGGTATATAACTGTTCATTATTATTTTTTTCTCGCCTGGTCCGTTATACTCCTGCAATGAGTGAAACCATCTGGTATTTTTCCTTTCCTTTCTGGTTTATCTCACTAAACATGATCTTTTCCAGCTCCATCCATGTTGCTGCAAAGGACATGTGTTTCTTTTTTATTTTTTTGGTTGCTGAGTAATATTCCATTGTGTATATGTACCACATCTTTTTAATCCAGTCATCAATTTTTGGGCATTTGGGCTGTTTCCATGTCTTTCCAATTGTAAATATTTTGAGCAGTGCAACGACCCTATGATTGGAGACATTCTATGCCAGCCCATAGAATGTACACCTAGTTAAACTAAGGACTCTGGGTGACAGTGATGGACCCAAGCAGGTTCAACAATTGTGGCACAAGGTGCTGAGGGGGAAGTTTTCTGTTGGGGGGGGGGCGGGTGCAGGAGGTATGTGAGAAATCTCTGTACTGGCTTCTATTTTGCTGTGCACTTAAAATGCCCTGAAAAAAATAAACCGTGAACCCCCCATTCGTTTATGTGTATATCTGGGAGCTGCAGTTTTTGCTTAGCTGGGGCCCCAGGCACAGCCTTACCTGCCCATGGGTGATCCACTGCCAAGGCCCAAGGAGCTGGCCCAGCCTCACCCTTCTTCTCCGAGCAAGCGCCCTCCCCTCTGCAGACCCTCTCATGTCAAAGGCAATTGCGCTTCATGTTCGCTGTCTCTTCCTGCTACCTCCCTCTTTAATTCTCTGTGTTTCATGCCCCCTCCCATTTTCTCCCCTCTGGAGCCCAAACACCCCACATCTGTTCTCTTTGTGGGTTCCTGGGCATAATCCCCTCCAGGGTGACTTCTGGGCTCCCTTCTTCCTCCAGCTGCTTCCCCCAAAGACTTCCCTCTTGACGGACCCAGTGACCCGCTCTCAGAGCACGGGACCTGGAGTCAGAAGGCCTGGGCAGGAGTTCTGCCACTCACCAGCTGTGTGATAGTGAGCAACTCAAAGCCCTTCTCTGGGCTTGTGTCTGATACCTTGAAGATGTTTCTGATCTCTGCTGCCAGTGAATGCCTGGGGGTTTGAAGTCTCAGGCAGACGGGATGTTCAAAAGATCTGCCATTTGGTGCAAATGAGATGCCATGAGCCACGTGACAGTGCTAGCTGGACCTTTAAGAGTCCCCACGTGCCCTGACTCTTAGCAAGGTCACAGACTGGGGAGGAGGGTGCGAGCTGAGCTCGGGTGGCAGAAAGAACCCCGTTCTGCCTCAGGGGAGAGGTCTGCCCCTTGCTCTTGTGTGGATGGGCACAGCTCCCTGAGCCTCTCAGGTTCCTCACCAGCAAAGGGAGATCATGAATCCTATGTGGTAAAGTTAACTGGGATTTTGAGTCCTAATTTGTAAAGGTCAAAGCACTAGGATGACAGAAACATAAGAGCTAAAATGCAGAAAAAAACCCTCGCAATATATAATAATCCTCTCCACACTGCTTTGAAGTGAGCACCTTTTCCTCCCCCATTTTATGGGTGAGGGAGTAAATGGAGGCATCAGAGAGGGAAAGTGTCCTGTCTAAGGTCACACAGCCAGAAGCACTTAGCAGGAGCTGTGAGCCCAGTAGCTCTGGTTCCAGCCTGTACTCTATGGCTTCCTAGGAAAGGAGCTCAAAGCAGGTAAGTGGGAGGTATGACATTATTATTAAGGCTTCTAAGAGTCAGCCTGGGAATTGCACCACCCTGGGGCAAGGGAGATGGTAAGTTTGTGGGTGGGAGAGTGATGCTCTCCCCCGGGGCCAAGTCTTGCAGTACACACATACCTTTCTGCTCCATCCCAGACACCAGTGTCTTCCTTACTTCCTGTCAGGGTTCCCAGGCCTGTCTGCCCATCCCTTCTCATAGGTTTGGGAGAAACCGACTTGGAGTTCCCCCAGTCTACAAAGGGGGAGAGATTCCTCATCTTGTGAGGCTGATCCCGGTCTAGGGGCATAGAGTTACTAATAGCAGCCTGCAGGGCTGTGTCATCCACCTGGTGACTCAGGGATCCAGGATCAGCCCCCTCCCCATTCTAATGGGGCCTCCACCTGCAGGAGTGAAGGCTGTGCCTAGAGTGAGGCCTAGAGTGAAGGCTGTGCCCCCTATTAAGGTGGAGGGTGTTGACTTGCAGCATATCTTATTCTCAGCCTCCTGTCCCACGGACTTGGCAAACTATGTTGTGTTGGAAGGAGGGGAAGTGGCAAAGGGGATGTTGGTAACCAGAACGCTTCCTACCATTGCTGTGTTGAAAGCCAAGTTCTCCCCCAAATGGGGGTTGGGAAGCAGGAAGCTGGGAGGGCAAGATGAGCAAAGTCGGGTTCTTTGCCTGAACTGACTTCAAGAACAGACTTTGCTGTCTGCTCCTCTTGGTTTAAAAATTTGACTGACCCGGAGGTCATCATGATTAGAGCTTCAAGTATTTACTGCTTGGTGCAGCACTGCTAACTCTTTTGATCCTTACAACCCATGAGGTAAGCACTATTATTACCCCATCATGCAGATGGGGGAACTGAGGCACTCAGTAAGCCAGGTATGGTGCTAAGTATTAGGGATGCAGTAATGACCAGAATAGCCTTTGTCAGTTGCCCAGATCACACTGTAAGTCAGTGTCAGAGCTGAGTTGTGAACTTAAGCAATTTGTCTCCGGAGCATAATTCTTAGCTGCCACTGGGGCTCCGGAGAGGTAAATTCTCTCAGTTTCCTCATCTGCATGATGGGGGTCATCGTGTAACAGGGGGGTCCCTAGGAAAAAGAGAAGTTCCAGGTTCCCTGCCCCACCCAAAAGGAGAGAAGGAAGCTGGATGGAGAACAAGACGGAGACCTGAGGAAGCCACATGGAGCAGCAAGCATGTGATGAAGAAACCGGGCTTGTTTCCTGACCCTGGACTGGTGAAGGCAGATGTGGGTGAGACGCCTGTAGGGAGGTGACTATGGCCGTGTTTATATTGATTTTGATTTTGCTCTTTTCCTTCCAGATTTGTCTGGCCATGTCTGACCCTTTTCCATGGGTCCTGGCCAGAAGGTGCTTTAGTCTTGTGGCAGTTTTCAGGCCTTGCTCTGGGCCAATCCCTTTTGGGTTGACTTTTGCCCACGAGGGGATCAGGTGTTTGATTTAGACGTTATATTCTTTGTGTTCCATATTGTATATTTACTGTATTAAAATCCCTTTTCATTGAAGTTTTATATGTTTTGTCTTGTTACAGCGGATGGCAGAACCCACTTAGAGCAGGCAGGTTTTGGGGCTTCAGGGGTGTCCCTCTCTCCCTGTCGTATAACAGACTTTGTCCTACAACAATTGGAGTGGAGTTGTACACCTCCCTCTGAGGCTGTTTGTCTGGCTGGTCATTGCTCATTCAATTTCTCCCCTGCTGGACCCAACTCCATGAGCAGGAGACAAAGGCTATTCCGGTCACTACTGTATCCCTAATACTTAGCACCGTGGCTTGTAAAAACTTGAGCATGTGTTGAGTAAATTGTCTTCGAAGGTTTGAGGATCATCACCAATGGTCTGAGTATAGGGTGAAACAGTTGGCGCCTTCACATAGAAAAACCAACTGCTGGTTCTCACCTGGGGGGTGATTTTCCCCTTCCTGTCCATTCGGGACATTTGGCAATGTTTCACAACATTTCTGGTTGCCACAACTGGGAGGGGAGGTGCTACTAGCCTCTAGAGGCTGGTACTGGGGGACTACTAAACAGCTTACGATGCTCAGGACATCTCCTTCTTCAAGGAGTTACCCTGTCCTGAAGGCTGAACTTGAGAAAGCTGACCTAGCCCACAGATATGACACACTTTGTACAGTTACTGTTTATGGATTGCTGGGTTGTCCTGCCACCAGAAGGTGCTTTGCATTAGAGGTTTTGGGTTTTTTGTTTGTTTGTTTCCACCTCTAAAATTATATTCTCTATGATCCCACACTCTCAGGTCTGATGTATAGTTCCCCAGGGCCCCCTGCTCTGGTCTCTGATCTACCAAAGGCCAGAGCCTCTTCAGTCTAAGTAAAGGATCAGGACCGAGGTCTTATTTTTTTTTAATATTATAGTCATGTGCTTCATGCATATATACATATATATTTAAGATTTATTAATTTATGCATACAGAACTGGGTGCAGGCCAGAAGTGCAGGGGCAGTGGGACAGAGTGGGGAGTAGAACAGGTAGATGGATGAAGTAAAGTGCTGAGCAGAACAGCGGGTGGGTCAGCAGAGGTCTGCCCCACCTTGTGGATCACCTCTGGGGCTGGGGATTGAAGTAGCACTGAAGTGGCTGTAGCTTGGCTGGCTTGTAGTGCTGAGCTTTAACCCATTGCATGACAGGGAGGGCCCAGGACCGAGGTTTTAAGTGTCCCCTCCCCTATTCATTCAACCCCCTCCCTAACCCTGGTCAACTCAGCTCCTTATAAATGGTAAAAACAAAAACAAAAACAAAAAACCTTCAGAGCTAGGCTTGAATCCTGGTTCTGTGTATTGATTTGCTGTGTGACCACGGGCAACTTCCTTGACTGCTCTGAGCCTCAATTTCTTCCTCTGAAAATGGAGAGCCATTCGTTAAACCTACCTCACAGAGAGAGGGTGGTGAGGATGCAATGAGATACTTTAGGGACTCAACACAGTAAATCTCAAAAAATGCTCGAGGTACCGGGACTTGCATGAGGTCACGCAGGTGGAAGGTAACAGTTCTGGAATGAAAACCACAGCTTCATGCTCATGGTGAACTCTAGAGCTTCAATTTTCTTATAAAGGAAGTTAATTGTCTCCATTTCACAGACTTGTTTCTTAGATAAGCACACAAAGTGCCTGGCAGATAGTAAGTTCTTTAAATATAGCTTGTTGAGTGGCTATTGTTGTCCTTCCCAAGTAATGCCTTGAAGGCCACAAATACAGATCTTGCCCCACGCTGGCTGGCTGGCTGTGGAGAAGGGAGGGAGGTTGCATAAATTAGTGCTGGAGCGCCAGCCCTGCCGGTTGGAGCAGGGCTGGAGAACTGAAAGGGCTCCTGAGAGATCAGCCTTACCCTCTGCATTCCCTTCCTCTGTTTTGCAGTTAAAGTGTTCGAAGCTCAGAGAGGGCAAGGCATTTACTCTAGGTCAGATAGGATTAGAGCCCCAAACCCCCCAGTTAAATGATTCCAGATCGGAGTCCTGGTCTTGGCTTAGATGATGAAGAGCCATCAAGCCATCTATGGAGGATAACAGCAGCACCATAGCAAGCTTTCAGGTGTTTAATCTCAATTTATCTTCACATCCATTTAGGGACAAAGGGCCCCTTTACAGCCAAGGAAACAAATTCAGTGCTTAGGACATTTGCCTGAGGCGCTGAAAGAAGAGTGAGGCCTTGTCTGTGGGTTTCCTGATGCCACAAGCTTCCCTCTCTACTGCCCTGAAGGATTCAGCCTGTTGCAGACAGGGGGTGCCCAGTGGAATTCCCCAATTCTTGCTTAGCAGAACCCACTCCTTCCGCCCCCAGGAGGAACAGGGAGAGGCATCAGTCTAGGAAGTCTTCCAGGGAAGGGGAAAAGAGGACAGGCCCTGGGAGTGTGGGGAGCTGTGAGGGGAGAGCCCCTGGGAGAAGCTGTCAGGTTCAGAAAGAGGTCTCTTCCAGTCGTGGGAGAGCGCCGGACACCCTCCAGCCTCATCTCCCCCCTCCCTTTCATACAATTCTCACAAGCTCTGCAGTTTGCAAAACCCAGCCTTTCCTCTATGATAGGGCTGTGGTTTCCTGTGGGTCTGGGGTCCTGCCAGGCTTGGCAATGGGGACTGTGGAGGGGGGGAAGAGGAGGTGGTGTAAGCCCTTTCTTTGCTTTCTCATGCTGGGGACACACACACACACACACACACCACCCCCTGAGTCAGCCCCTGCTGTCCTGGTGGGAGGGCGGAGTCACTGATTCAGCTAGCAGGGCCTCCTTAAAGCCCCCAGGAGGAAGGCTGCAGCCAGACACCACCTCAGTCACCATGAGCCCCTGGCAGCCCCTGGTTCTGGCGCTCCTGGTGCTGGACTGCAGCTCAGCAGCTCCCACACGGCATCAGCCTACCGTGGTGGTCTTCCCAGGGGACCTGCGAACCAACCTCACCGATAGGCAGCTGGCAGAGGTAGGCAAGCACCCTCTTCTGGAACTGGGGAGGGCCGGCCAGGAGTTCCAGGAAGGACATGGGGGACAGCTTTGGGGGACCTCTCTGGGGCGGGAGGCATATCAGCACAATGGAGGCGCCCAGGACCAGGCAGGAGGCAGTGGGTGGGGGCTCTGGGCAGTGAGGGCAAAGGGTGGGCGAATGAATGAGTTTCCTGAATGGGTGATGGGAAGTGGGGGAGGACCCAGAAGGGTTCTGGAGTGGGTAGGTGCTGGGGAGCACAATAAGCCCTAGGGAGCCCTGAGGTAGGCATGCCAGGGGCATCCAGGGAGGGGAGATTCCTGCCTTGGCACCAGTGTGGCTCCCAGGGGCGCCAAGACCTGGGCGCATTGCTCTGGGTTTCCATGTCTGGCCCTTGTCTGCAGGAGTATCTGTACCGCTATGGCTACACACGCGTGGCAGAGATGCGCAGGGACAAGCTGGGTCAGGCGCTGCAGGTTCTCCAGAAACGCCTGAGCCTGTCCGAGACCGGCGAGCTGGACAGCGCCACCCTGGAGGCCATGCGAGCCCCGCGCTGCGGCGTTCCAGACATAGGCAGATTCCAGACCTTTGAGGGTGAACTCAAGTGGCAACACCACAACATCACCTACTGGTGCGCTCTCGCTCTCGGGCCGGCGGGGCGGGTGGGGGCGCAAGGAGGCCAGTCCCCGCGCCCAGGCCTGCGCCTACACCGTGTCTTCTAGCCCGGAGCCCGGTTTCCCCAAAGGTGCAGTCGGGGCAAGTGGCTCCGCCCCGGGCCCCCGCGGCTCGCAGTCCCAGCCTCCCGCCGGGCCGCCAGAGTGTCCGAAGGGTGGACACGCGTCAGAAGAGCGTATAGACAGCAGCGCGGAGCGCAGGGACCCTCGGCTTAGCTGAAGTCTGAGGCGTGGGGGGGAGCGCTGACTGTCCCCGCCGGCTCCGCTCGCAGGGTGGAGAACTACTCGGAAGACTTGCCGCGCGACGTGATCGACGACGCCTTTGCGCGCGCCTTCGCGCTCTGGAGCGCCGTGACGCCGCTCACCTTCACTCGCGTGCACGGTCGCGACGCCGACATCGTCATCCAGTTTGGAGTGAGGGGTGAGAACACGAGAATGGGAGACTCGGGAGTGGGGGGCCTGGGGAGTGGGGCCGGGAGAGGGTGGGAGGGACACACAGGCTTTAGGGGGCCCTTGCCGTCTCTGTCGGGTAGGGGGAGGCGTAGCGCCCTGGGGGCCGCAGTCTGCGCCGTGGTGCCGGGTGAGCTTTTCCTCCTATTTCTCCAGAGCACGGAGATGGCTACGCCTTCGATGGGAAGGACGGGCTCCTGGCGCACGCCTTTCCTCCTGGCCCAGGCATTCAGGGAGACGCGCACTTCGACGACGAAGAGTTGTGGACTCTGGGCAAGGGCGTCGGTGAGGTCCTCGGCCGCCCCATCCCCGCCCTCTTCTTTTCTCCCAGCATTATTGGGCGTCCTGACCCGGGGTCGCTTCCTCTTGCAGTGGTTCCAACCCACTTCGGAAATGCAAACGGGGCCCCCTGCCACTTCCCCTTCACCTTCGAGGGCCGCTCCTACTCCTCCTGCACCACAGAGGGCCGCTCGGATGGCGTGCCCTGGTGCGCCACCACGGCCAGCTATGACACCGACCGCCAGTTTGGCTTCTGCCCCAGCGAGAGTGAGTGGGGGAGGGGGAGTTGTCCCGGAAGGGGTGGGGCGCCCGGCACCCTCGAGGGAGGGTCTGGTGCTTGGGTTTACATCCCAGCTCTGGCGACATTAGTGCTGGATCGCCTGGAAGCGACTGTCCCCAGTTTTGAGCCCAGTTTCTCGTCTGAATGAGGAGAGGGGGGCGGAGCACACGGAGGGGGTCTCGATAAACTCGTGGCATCTTGGGGTGATGGTCTGGGCCTCCCTAGGACTGTACACCCAGGACGGCAACGCGGACGGCAAGCCTTGTGTGTTCCCCTTCACCTTTGAGGGCCGCTCCTACTCCGCCTGCACCACAGAGGGCCGCTCCGACGGCTACCGCTGGTGCGCCACCACGGCCAACTACGACCAGGACAAGCTCTACGGCTTCTGCCCCCCTCGAGGTGCCTCCGCCCTCCTCATAGATGTAGCCTCGCCCACTGATTCATTTGGCCCCAGAAACATGGCTCCTCCACTCAGCAGCTTGTTTCTCTCCTTGGTCACCAGGACCTTAGGATTCCACCATCACACCCTCCCCTTTTCCAATTGCCACCACCCCTCAAGACTGGCCTTCCCGCCCAGCCTGCGGCCTCTTCTTGGTCTCCTCTCCCCAGCCCCACCCCCAGCCAAGCCAGGTCTCAGCTGGGCCTCACAGCGGCCTGTTTTAGAGTAGCCCCCCCCCCCCACCGGGGGCCTCTAGCTCCTGATTGGGCCCACCCAGCCCGCTCACCCAAGGCTCTGGGTCTCTCCAGTCGACTCCACCGTGACCGGCGGCAACTCAGCCGGGGAACTGTGCGTCTTCCCCTTCACCTTCCTGGGCAAGAAGTATTCGTCCTGTACCAGAGAGGGCCGCAGCGACAGGCACCTCTGGTGTGCCACCACATCGAACTTCGACAGTGACAAGAAGTGGGGCTTCTGTCCCGACCAAGGTGGGCAGCGTCTCCCGCCTGGCCCAGGCGGGCGGTGGGGGCTGGAGCTTGGTCCAGGCCTGAGCCCCAGACCCTCTCCCTCCAGGGTACAGCCTGTTCCTGGTGGCAGCGCACGAGTTTGGCCACGCGCTGGGCTTAGAGCATTCTTCGGTGCCAGAGGCACTCATGTACCCCATGTACAGCTTCACGGAGCAGCCCCCTCTGCACGACGATGATGTCAGGGGCATCCAGTTTCTCTATGGTGAGGTTGTGGGGCTGGATGGGGGGGAGGTTGGGGACCCTGGGCCAGCGGGTGCAAACGCTACTTGGCCAGTGCTGGGAGGTGGCAATAAAGAGCCCTGAGTTTAGCATGAGACAGACGGGGTTCAAAAGCCAGTCCCGGCACTGCCTGGCTGGGTGGCCTTGCACCTGGCACTTCACCCTCTGTTTTCTCATCTGTAATATTGGGTTAATAATTACTGTAGCACTTGCCTCACGGGGTTGTTCGGAGGTTAGAGAGAGTTAGAATAATGCCTGGCATATAATAAAAAGTTTTTGGTATTTTTATTGTTACCCTCCAGGGTACTTATCTTTAGTAATATTTCCTTATTTATTTATTTTAAAGATGTACTTATTTATGCATATAGAACTGAGGTACAGGCCAGAAATGCAGGGGGTGTTTGTAAGAGGCTTCCCCAGAGACAGAGTGGGGAGCAGAACAGGAGATGGACTGAAATTCACTGCTGAGGGGAGCAGCGGGCCGGACAAGAAAGGTCTGCTGCGCCATGTGGGTCAGCTCCTAGGACAGGAATCGAACTCATGCTGCAGGGGCTGTGATAGCTTCATAATGCTGCGCTTTAACCCATTGCACCACCAGGGAGGCTGTGTTTCCTCATTTTAAAAGACGGAGATACTGAAGAACTGTGCCATAGGTTTCTTTAAAGATCAAAGGAACTGACACGAGTTTATAAAGCTCGAAGCCCTAAGTTGCTGCCTGGATGGGGTGCTCATAAGCACCTCTCCAGCCTGGGGGCTGGGGGTTCTGCCTGTCTTGCATTCATGGGTCCAGCCAGGGCCTGACACCCTAAGGGATTAAAACTGGCGTGAATGAAAGTCCAGTGCATGAAGGAGGCAGCCTGCTTGTGGTTGTTGAGAGCAGGCTCCAACATCTAAAGTGGGGGGCTCCTTGATAAACTTCAGGGAGCAGATAATCAAGAGCTCAGGATGTGCAGGAAGAGGGAGTTCATCTCGTGTTTCCCCTTAGGCGCTCGCCCAGAGCCTGCACCCCAGCCTCCAGCCACCACCACCTCTGAGCCTCAGCCCACCGCACCTCCCATCACCTGCCCCACAGTGCCTCCCCCTGCGCCCCCCTCAGAACGACCCACTGCAGGCCCCACAGGCCCCCCCGGCGTAGGCCCCACAGGCCCCCCGACGCCAGGCCCTTCTGTGGCCCCTACACCGTCTTTGGATCCAGAGGACAATGTCTGCAACGTGGACATCTTTGACGCCGTCGCGGAGATTGGGACTCACCTGCATTTCTTTAAGGACGGGTGAGGGGCTGGGCTGTGGGGCTGAGGAAGGGGCTTGGAGGACGGAGCTGCCTGTACTCCCCACCCGCTGGCCTTCGGTTCAGGGCCACAGCCTGAGACTCCCTTTGCACTTCAGGAAGTACTGGCGACTCTCTGAGGGCAGTGGACACCAGGTGCAGGGCCCCTTCCTTATCAAGAGCACGTGGCCAGCACTCCCCGCTAAGCTGGACTCCGCTTTTGAGGATCCCCTCAGCAAGAAGATTTTCTTCTTCTCTGGTTAGTGTCCTCATATCTCCGTCTCCCACTCGGAGACTAACTCATGAAACGTCCAGGCGGACTGGAAAAGGGTTCCGGCTGGAGACCACTGAGTGCCAGCACTCGGCCCCTGGGGTCCCTTGCAGGGTCCTGCCTCCCTCCTTTCCCACAGAGCCTGGGGCACCAGGCTGGGAAAGGCCTCAAAGGATTCTCCCTCTCCACATTCCAAGAGACTTTGGGTCTCCTTCCGGTCCTTAGACCGTGTGGCCTTTCTCCCCTGCAGAACGCCAAGTTTGGATGTACACAGGCGCGTCGGTGCTGGGTCCCAGGCGTCTGGACAAGCTGGGCTTGGGTCCGCAGGTGGCCCAGGTGACCGGGGCCCTCCCGCGCGGCGGGGGCAAGGTGCTGCTGTTCAGCGGGCAGAGTTTCTGGAGGTGAGGGCCGCGCGGCCGCCGGCAGGGGGCGCCCACGCTCCATCCGCCCGCGGGTCCTCAGCCTGTCTCCTCGCCGCCTCGTGCAGGTTCGACGTGAAGTCGCAGCTCGTGGATTCTAGACAAGGTACCCCGGTAGATCAGATGTTCCCCGGGGTGCCCTTGAACACGCACGACATCTTCCAGTACCGAGGTAAGGGCTGCAGACGGCTGTCAGAGGACCCTGCCACGCTCGGCTTACCTGCCTTCTTGATGGGTCAGCTGAGCCAGAAAGAAAAAAACCCTGGCAATTGGGCAATGGCCCCAACACAGATAAATTCTCTGTAGAGGCAAGGGCATCCCCAGCCCCCGGACCCCGCCCCTCATCATACAGGGTCACACCACCAGAACTCGGGCTCAGATTTCATGCCTTGCCTCTAACATGTTTTCCTCTTACAGGACAGAACACATGTTTTGCAAGGAGGCGGAATCTTTTATTAGATACATGAGTGCCAGGCACTGCACTCTCACAAGGGAGTGGTAAAGATGGCAGCTCTTGGCTGTGTGTCCCTGGGGGAGTCGCTTCTTCTGGTGGAGCCTCAGTTTCCCTACCTATGAGGCTGGAGTTCTGTTGGCTTTTTGCTGCTCACATCCAACCAAAATATTCGTGCTCCCCCATCTTCTTGAAAACACCCTAGTCTAAGCCATACTGTTTGTCCAGCACCGTTCAACACACTGCCTAGGAGTAAGGAGGTATTGGGAGTGGTGGGCACACCTTGGGGGTGCCCCCGCCTCACCCCAAGGTCAAAAAAGCAGTGCTCTGCTAGTTCCCTGCCACCTTCTCTCAAGGCCTTCTCCGACCTTCATCATCTGTTCACACACTTGCTTTTATTCCTTCATAGCGCTCAACATTGTCCAACTGAACCTCACTTGTTTGTCCATTTCCTGGCTAATCATCTCGCCCCACCGCTGTGTGGGTACCGAGACAGCCAAGAACACGCACACTTTTCTCTTCCAGAGCTGCAGTGCCTTGAACACTGCTTGGCATGAGAAATACTGGTGAATGAATGAATGGACTTGTTGAATGAATGAGTGAATGTTGAATGTGTACCTCTTGTGCCAGGCTCTGTGCCAGCATCTCTGCGGGTGAGATGGAGGTGTCTTGCTAAAACCTTGGAGAGACCTAGAAAGGGCAGGAGGGGGGTCGGTGAGACCGGGCTTCTGTTCCTGTGTGTGGAGGGATGGAGTCAGCTGTTGTCCCTGCCTCTCCCCTGCAGGGAAAGCTTACTTCTGCCAGGACCACTTCTTCTGGCGCGTGAGTTCCCGAAAAGAGGTGAACCAGGTGGACAAAGTGGGCTACGTGTCCTTCGACATCCTGCACTGCCCGGAGGAGTAGGGCTTCGCCTCCCGCTTCAGCCCTGCAGGGTGGGTCCCCTGGGGCTGACCCAGGGGGGAGGAGCCAGGTTGCTGGATCCGAACTGGTGGGTCTGTTCTGGGACAGGGAGAGGGCAGGTGGGCCGGGCCCTCTGTTCCCACCTTCCTTTTTTGTTGGAATGTTTTTAATAAACACTGGGTTCTTTAGCCTCTTGGGCAAATTAATTTATGTATATATGCATGTGTGTATGTGCATATCCAGCCAGAAGTGCTTACCGTGTGGCAGGGCGCTGAGCACTTTGTAAATATCAACACTGAAGTCTTCTTACATGGAGGCGTAATGTGCTTACTCCTGTTTTTTTTTTTTATTTTAAAGATTTATTTATTTGTGCATACAGAGCTGGGGTACAGGCCAGAGGTGCAGGGGCGGTGAGAGGATTCACCAGAGACAGAGTGGGGAGCAGAACAGGCCGACTGATGAAGTACACTGCTGAGGGGAGCAGCGGGCGGGTCGGGAGAGGTCTGCTGCGCCATGTGGTCCCCTCTGGGGCAAGGATTGAATTCTTGCATAAGTGACTATCACTTCTTAGTGCTGTGCTTTAACCCGCTGCGCCACCAAGGAGGGCCTGCTTACTCCTATTTTACAATAGGAAATGGCCAACCTGTTATTCATTCATCAAACACTCATTGGGCTCCTCCATGGACCTTGACCCTGTAGGCATGGGGGGTAGAGTGATGACTCTAGAAGATCTCTCAGTGGTCTTCAAATTTTAGGGTGCCTAAGAGTGACCTCATAATTTGCTTACAGTGTGGATTCCAGCCTCTGTCCCCAGAGACCTCAACTCAGTTACGGGATGGTCTGTGGTTGCTGGAGGTGGGGTCATACTTGGTGTGTGACCTTGTCTTATGCGTGTGTGTTCCTTGTCTAGAGAGAACATGTGTGCATGTGTGTGTGATTCTGTGTGTTACAGTCGAATGTGGGAATGTTTTCCAGTCAAGATGACATCTGAACTTGAACTGAATCTGGGGGGAGCAGTAAGTTTCTTCCTGGGCTCATAGGGCTACCTTCTTAGATGGTAATTTGCCAAGAATCATTAAACTTAAAGATGTACCTGTGGTATCAGTCTTTTTTTTTTTTTTTTAAGATTTATTCATCATTTTTGCATACAAGAACAGGCCAGAGGTGCAGGTGTGAGAGGAGTCACCAGAGACAGAGTGGGGAGCAGAACAGGCTGACTAACGAAGTACACTGCTGAGGGGAGCAGCAGGCGGGTCAGGAGAGGTCTGCTGTGCCATGTGGGTCAGCTCCCTAGTTGGGGATCGAACTTGTGCTGCAGTGGCTGCGAACAGCTTCATAGTGCTGCGCTTTAACCCATTGCCCTACCAGGGAGGGTCCTGGTGTAACTGTATACATGCCAACACATGGAAGGATGCTCACCACTGAATTGTTCGTATAGTGAGAAACTGGCAATGACCTCGGTGCCCAGGAGTGAGGTGGTAGATTAATAAAATATGGATTATGGTCCACATGGACTAAGGTCACGTGGCCCATGTATGCTATCTCAGGTTACCCTAAAATTTCCCGAGGCAGGAATGTCTCTTCTACAACTACTTTTGGGGTCACCCTCCTCCCATTTTACCAATGAGGAAACTGAAGTTCAGAGAGTTACACAGCTGCCTTGCAGCCTCGTAGTGAGCGGGATTTGAATGTGAACTTTTTTTTTTTTTAAGATTTATTTATTTGTGCATACAGAACTGGGGTATAGGCCAGAGGCTCAGGGGTGGCGAGAGGCTTCACCAGAGACAGAGTGGGGAACAGAACAGGCAGATCGACGAAGTACACTGCTGAGGGGAGCAGCGGGCGGGTCAGGAGAGGTTGCCACGCCATGTGGTCACCTCCGGGGCAGGCGGGAATAGAACTCATGCAGAAGTGGCTTTTAGATTCTCAGTGCTGTGTTTTAACCCGCTGCGCCACCAGGGAGGGCCTGAATGTGAACTCTTGGGGAAAGCACTGCAAGAAGAGAAAAACAGGGTGTATGGGGGGGGGCAACAAATGCCTGAGAACCCTGGAGTGTGATTTTAGCAGGTGGACAAGGTGGGGAGCAGAGAGGATTCTGGGATGGAATGGTTGGCTTGGCCGGATGAGAGCATGGATTCGGCTTCATAGAGAGCAGATGGGCTTGGCTGACAGGTGGGCGCAGCTGAGGGGGGTGCTGGGCTTGATCAGAGTCAATGACCTTCTGACCTGGGGCTCACATGCGAGTGTAAGGTGGCGGTGCCTGAAGAAGGACTCCTGAGCGGCGTCTGGGTGGGAACCCCTTTCTTAGCTCACCCACTTCTGACTCAGGAATGACTCAGTCCCACCCAAACGTTCCTTGATGTGACTTACTTAAAATCCCCCTGGGTCCTTCTCCCTCTAGATACTGCTCCGTTTCTCTACCTCACCCTCATCCGTAGAGAAACTCCCTTCTAATACAGCCTTTGCTGACTGTCTCTGCTTCTAGATGTTTCCAGCCTGACCCCATCTCCCTTTCTGCTGGAAATGGCCACCTTTAAGGCCACCTGTTAATTGCTGGTAGCCGGATAATTGGCATTCTCATCCTACCCATGTGGCGGCTTCTCTGACATAGTTGGTCATGCCCTTCATCCTGAAATTTTTCTTCTGTTGGTCTCTGGGTCCTGGTTCCTCCCACCTCACTGGCTGCAGCCCCTAAATGAGCTTGGCCTTGGACTCAATCCTTGGACCTCTCTGCTCTGTGTAAACATTCCCTGTGATCTTGTTTAGCCCTACAGCTTTAAATAGCACCTCTCTGCTATGGACTCTGAAATTTATATCTCCAGCCTTAACCTCTCCCCTCAGCTGCAGCCTCCACATTCAACTGCCAGCTCTGCCTGCGTGGCCCTTAGGTACCCCTCAGACATCCCAACGTACAGGTACATGTGAGCTCTCGGGCTCCACCTCCCGAACACGCTGCTCCCTCAGTCAGCACTACCTTCATAAAAGACGTCATCTGCCCTCCATCCAGTGTAAAACCTGATCTGTCCTGAGATCTAGGAATCAGTTAAACTCCTTCTGCGACTGGGTTTCTCAGCATTGGCATGCTTGACATTCCAACCAGCTCATTCTTTGTTGTGGGTTGTACCCTGCACCCTTGGGGATGTCTTCCTCCAGGAAGTAGCAGGATCCGTGTACACACAGATGCCAGAGTCACTTGGCATGGGTCCTGCTCCCCACCAAGGCCCTATCATAAAGGGGCAGGGGAGCAGAGCGCAGAAAGGTGGCATCCTGGTGCACAGGATGCTGGTGTAAGCCTAGATCTAGGCACGTGGCCTCTACCCGCTAGATGCCTGCCCGTATCACATCCCTCCAGCTGTATCCACACAAAATGTCTCTGAATACTGCCAGGGCACCACGACTGACCCCAGCAGTTATCATCTTCTTGAATCATTGCTCTAATGTAATAAACAGCTAGCCAAGTCGATCTGTCCTAGCACACATTCCAAGAAAATTCTGTAAATGGAACACAAACACATAACCAGCATTTGGATCAAGACATAAAACATTAGAACATCTCGAAAGTCGCCCGGCACTTTTTTCTACCCCTCTCCCCAAGTGAAGTCAGAGTTACCACCGTTACCTCTGACAGCCGAGACAGATTCTAAAATTTTCTTTATTAAGTAATATTTTACGACACGTACTTTTTGGGTCTGGCTTCTTTTTGTTCAATATTGAGATTCATCCATGTTGTGTTTGAATTACAGATTGTTCATTTTCACTACTGTCTACCTCCCATACTGTGAATGTGCCACTCACTTTTCCACTTTACTGCTCATGGACATTTGGGGAGTTTGCAGTTTGAGGCTATTACGAATAATGCCACATGAACACTCTTGTCAATGTGCTTTGGTGGACAAGGGCAGCCACTTCTTTTAAATTAATTATTTATTTCTGTATAGTTCACATCATTCCTCCTTTTTGTATGTACGCTCTCTCCTCTCAGGTGTGATCCCAGTCTAATCGCTACCTGGGCACCATCACCACAGTCCCTTGCGCTGTTTCCTCCTGTTTTGATCCCTTCCCCTCCCAGCAGCCACTTCTTTTGGGCATGAACCTGGCATTGGAATTGGTGGGTGTCTGGATGTTCACTTTTAGTGGCTGTGACGGGACAGTTTCCCAAAGTGCTTTGACTGATTATACTCCCACCAGCAGTACAGGAGTGTTTCCAGGAGTCCTTCCTGACTCTTCTGTCCATCATATGAATGTCCAGCCCAGTAGCAGGTCCTGTAGGCTCTACTCACAAAATGTGCCTGCGTTCGGATGACCCCAGTACTGCACTGGGCTAACATCAGCTTCCACACGAGGGAGGCGTGGAGGCAGCCACCTCTGAATTAGATTCTTAGCTCTTCTTTATGCTGCTTTTCTTTAGTTAAGTCTTCACCCAGCAGCTAGAGTGATTTTTTAAAATTAAGATGTTATTGTTTTATTTTTGCTTAGAAGAACTGGGGTGTAGGTCAGAGGTGCAGCAGGTGAGAGGATTCACCAGAGACAGAGTGGGGAGTAGACCAGGCAGATCTACTAAAGTACACTGCTGAGGGGAGAAGCTGGTGAATAAGAGAGTCTGCTGTGCCCTGTGGGACACTCCGGCTAGGGACTGAACTTAGGCTGCAAGGAGATAGTGCTGAGACTTGAGACTTAACCTCCCACCACAGAGGCCGAGAGGGATCTTGTTAAAATATAAATCAGATGGCATGATTCTCCCACCCCATGAAACACTGTCCAATGGCTTGCCTTGTAGATTAGGAAAGAATCCAGTCTCCTCCCCGAAATCTTCCAAAGCCCCTATGCCCTGTTCTCTCCTCTCCCATGTCTCATCATTGTCTCCATGCATTGTTCCAGACACAGGGGCCTTGTTGCTGTCTCTGAACAGCCCAGGCTCCTTTTCACCACGGGGCCTTGCAATTGCCTTTTTTTCTTCCAGAGAATGCTTCCTACAGAACTTTGCATATCTGGGCTACTTCTCATCCATGAGGTCTCAGTTCAAACATCCCATCTTCTCAGACTTAGAGAGGCTTCCTTAGACTACCCGCTAAAGTCATCCTTCCCCTGGTCCTTATGCTGTGGTGCTCTTTTTCTTGCTATATAACACAATCTCAGTTATCTTGTCTATGCATTTGCTTACACACGAGGATTCCC